GGCTTGGCCATGGCCGAGCCACCCCATGGTGGCTCGGCTTTGGCCGAGCCACCTGGGTGGTTCGACTTCGGCCGAGTTGCCTGGGTGTGGCGCCGTTGTGTCCGTCGTCCGGTTTTGCGCTTCGTTGTTAATTTGGACTCTGATTTGTTGATCTGAATCCTGATTTGGCAGTAAATCCGCTTCGGTATTCGAGTTCGAATCCGTTCTATGGTTGGATGACTCGTTGACTCACCGGACTGTTAGCTTGATTCTGCACGTGAGTGGATGTATTCCATTGCTTGCGTGCGGTTCGTTAACCTCATCGCCTCGTTAATCCGCTTCGTTGTGTGTCACTTGGCTTCGGCATTGTGGACTGATGCTCGTGTTTAGATATGTCGTCCGATGGTTCGTTAGCTTGTTGAATCACCGTGCCGAGCTGTGTTAAGGGACCTATAAGCAGTTTTATACGCCTACAGATACCCCCTCCAAAGTATTTCAGCCTCGTTCTCTTATAGAAGAGTCTGGAATGCTTTGGATATGATTGCCTCAACCTTCAATCGGTATGACGGGACTTCGGAATGGCTTCTGTTCTTGATTCCTTCAATCCTTCAGGCTATTCGGTGCTTTGTCGAATGTCTGTAAGGGTTCTGGTACTGCATTTATTGTCTGTCCGTTGTCGGAATTCTGAACTTGAAGTCGGTTCCTGATTTTTCTGATTTTTAGCTCGTGCTTGTTGGTTCAACATAGAACTGACCATCGATTGTTGGCGTTGAGTCTTTATTTGCGACGCGTTGTCCGGCGTAGTGTCGTTGAGTCATCCTTAAGAATATTTTTAGAAAAATATTCTCCAGAAACTTCTCAACCAAAAATAGGAAATAGTTTATACTCGTATACCTTATTGGAGTAATTTCTGTGCCCGAATGAGCCGAACCGGCCTGATAATGAGCTGAACCAGCTTGATAATGAGCCAAAAAAAGGCTCAAAAAATTTTCTGATCCTTCCGAATGTGTGGGAGAGGTAAGAATAAACCAAGGACTGAACCCTCGGTCGATTTGAAGTTGTTTCGATGCTCGATTCAGCTTCAATTTGAATTCTGGTTCAAATTTGGTTCAAACTGGTTCAACCTGGTTCAAGGCTGGTTCAACCTGGTTCAAGGTTGGTTCAGAACTGGTTTAAGACTGGTTCATCCTGGTCTGGTCTGGTTCAATCTGGTTTGGCCTGGTTCAGCCTGGTTTGGCCTGGTTCTGCCTCTTTTGAACTGATTTGGACTGGTCTGGTCTGGTTCAACCTGGTCCGGTCTGGTTCAAGGCTGGTTCACCTATAAAAGCCTCTTTTTTCTCCTCCTCTAGGGC